CCTCAAAAAATTAAAAATGGAACTGCCCGACCCCACTTCTGGGAATATATCCTAAGAAACCAGAAACACCAATCAGAAAGGATATATGCCCCCTTATGTTCATAGCGGTATTATTTACAATAGCTAAAATCTGGAAACAGCCCAAGTGTCTATCAGTTCATGAGTGGATAAAAAAGCTGTGGTACATTTACACAATTGAATACTACACAGCTGTAAGAAAGAATAATCTCTCACACTTTGAGACAGCATGGATGGATCTGGAGACTATTATGCTATGTGAAATAAGCCAGTTAAAGAAAGACAAATATCACCTAATCTCACTTATAAGTGGAATCTAAAGAACAAAATAAACTGAGAACAAAAGAGAGCCAGAGGCTTCCCTTGGGCTGTCCTCAGGCTCCTGGGACCCAGGTTGGCTACCCTTCAGCTGCCTGCAAGCACCTGGGACCTGGGCTGGCTTCCCTCTGGCCCCAGCTTCATCAGGAAGGATGTCTGGAATACATTCGATCTAATTAGCATATTACCCTTTTATTATTATCCTATCTAATAAAGAGGGAATATGCAAATTGATCATCATGCTGTCACAAAGATGGCAGTGCCCATACCCACAAGAATGCAGTGCCCAGTCCCTTCAGCCTCGCCAGAGTCCCACAGTCCTTTCATCTTAGCTGGGGGGTTGGGGGGGGGTGGAGGAAGGGGAGGGAGGGGGACAGCAGGGGCACAGTGTGGCCAGACCCACCCTCAGCCCCCAGCCACCCAGGGTTGGCCTGAGGTGCAGGCCAGCCTTGGATGGTGACTGCCCAAAGCTCAGGTAACCAGGGCCAGCTGAGGCTTGTGCTGCCAGCAGTGGCAGCAGCAGAGGTGTAATGGGGGCATCACCTTTTCCTGATTGCTCAGTCGCCTCCTGTCCTTGAGGGCTCCTGGACTGTGAGAGGGGGCAGGCCAGGCTGAGGGACCCCACTCCAGTGCATGAATTTTCATGCACCAGGTCTCTAATAGATAATAAAAGGCTAATATGCAAATCGACCAAAAGGTGGAACCACTGATTGCTATAATGTGCAGTGACTCAATGCAGGTGCTGTTCCCTGGTGATCACTGCACTCCCATAGGGAAAGCACCACTCAGCCAGAAGCTAGATCACCGCTGGCAAGCACAGGGGCAGTGACAGGAGCCCCTCTTGCTTCCATGCAGCACTAAGGACCTCTTGGGGGATGTCTGCCTGGCAGCTTAGGCCTGTGCAAACCTAAGCCAGCAGGCGGACATCCCCCAAGTGATCCCAGACTGTGAGAGGGCACTGGCCAGGTTGAGGAATGCCTCCATTCCCCAGTACATGAATGTTGTGCACCAGGCTTCTAGTCCTATCTAATAATCCTGTCTAATAAAAGAATAATATGCAAATTGACAGTCACTCCAACACACAAGATAGCCGCCCCATGTGGTCATAGATGGCAGCCCCCATGTGGACACAAGATGGTCGCCACAAGATAGTCGACAGGGGAGGGCAGTTGTGGGCGATCAGCCCAGCATGGGAGGGCAGTAAGGAGGAACCCAGGCCTAAAGGGGAGAGCAGTTGGAGGGAACCAGGCCTGCAGGGGAAGGCAGTGAGGGGTGACCAGGATGGCAGGGGAGGGAAGTTAGGGGCAATCAGGCTGGCAGGGGAGCAGTTAGGCATTGATTAGGCTGGCAGTAGAGTGGTTAGTGGGTAATCAGGCTGGCAGGCAGAAGTGGTTAGGGGCAACCAGGCAGGCAGGCAGGTGAGCAGTTGGGAGCCAGCTATCCGACATCCCATTGGACAGTTGGACAAATGGGCAGTTGAACATTCCTCGAGGGATCCCAGATTGGAGAGGGTGCAGGCTGGGCTGAGGGACACATTCCACCCCCCATCACCCTGTGTGCATGAATTTCGTGCACCAGGTCTTTAGTGTCTTAATAAAGCTGGAAAAGATGAAGATTACTTTTGTGACAACTGCTTCTTTCAAGGAAACCTAATTTTAGTAATTGGGTTTGTTGGCCTAGCTGTTGTGCCAAGGAGCCAGGAAAGGCCTTCAGTGGGTCTGCCTTTACACGGTGCAGAGCAGGGCAGATCTGGGACAGGACCGGATGGGAGTAGGCTTCCCCTGCCTTCCCTGGGGAATGCCTGCAGTGGTTCTCAGCCTCAGCACCACCACCCAGTGTGGGTAACTCCTCCCTTAGGTGACTTTTCCCTTCAAGGGTGAGCGGGGTGGAGCAGATTGGGAAAGTCTCAACTGCTGCTTAAAACAGCCCAGACGATTAAATGTCTGCTCCAGCTGGTGTCCTGAGAGACTGAAATAATACACCTTCTTTTCTTCTGAGGAATTGATTTTGACATACACTTCTGGAGTTACCCTAGTTTTTAAGGAAGTGTCATTTGGGATGCCAAGAACCACTTGGGTATATCTGAGAGTTGTGTAATGCAGCTCCGGGCCAGGGACCACTCCAGGGCCAGATACAGCGGAAGACTATCTTCTGAGAAGCCCATCTACAGGCACTATCTTCTGCTTCTCAACCAGCCTCTCCCTGGGCAAACTCTGGCCTACTCGGACAAGAAGGAGCGGGAAAAGACTATCCAAAGATTATGCTGCTGGTCAACAAAAACAAACCTTTAGTGCACCTGACAATTGTCTCAGGGCCTCTTGCTCCACTTCTGTGTTTCATTTCAGGTTCCACCCCTTCAAAATAGAACTCTCTTGATCATGGTTCACCTTGTTATGTTTTTCTTTCCTACTTTTTGTTGCTTTAGATGACCCCAGCCAGATTCAGTCCTAAGTGGGCCCCTCTTTTAAGGCTTGTCAGGACTGGTCCGCAGTGGGTGGGGGGGCAGAGTGGGTGAGCATAAGCCAGGAGGGAGCGAATGCGTTTGCAAACGGGGAGGTGATGATGGTGAGCTAAAAGAAATGCTACCATCATTCCCCATCTCTCCTGAGGTGGGGAGGCTGGGCAGCTTCCATTCAAGGGACTTGCGGGCCACAGACTACAAGGGCCAGTGGTCAATTAAGGAATATGAGGACAGGGTATTCTGCAAGGATGCTGATAACATAGGCAAGTTTGTTTAGGATTGAATATTGGTAGGCGTGTTAGAGGACCTTAAAGGCCAGCACCGGGAAGCACAGGCTAGCATGGACATGACAGTTAAGATGAGAACTGATGATCAGAGAGTCTTGCGTTGAGGATGGACAGCAAAAGAAAAGAGGAGAGGCTTGGCAGGCCTGGTTGATACAGGCAGAGATGTCAGGTAAAACTTGAGGCCTGAAGAGGCTGATGGCTCAGGTGAAAAGCTATCGCAGCAGTGGGCTATGCAATCTTGGAGGCCTCAGTCTCTGAGGGTCAGCACTGGAGAGGTTTAGTACAAGGTGAGACCAGTCTCCTAGGAGGTTGCTGAGATCATTGGGAGAGGGTACTGGGTAAGCGTCAGGACACTCGCCTGGTAATGGGTGGATCTTTACCGTGTACAGCCCAATGAGGAACCTTCCCCATTGCACTGTAGAAAAAAAGAGAGAAACAATTTCAAAAGGACCAAAGCCGAGAGGAAATTTTCACCCTGCACAAACATATAGTAGAAAATGACTTCATCCAAGAAAGGCAATATTTCAGTGCTCGGTCATTTTACTGTTGGCAGAACAGAGGCTGGTGAGTGGTCTGCAGTTACTTGCCTGAGCAAACGGGTCGGAGGTCTCTGAGGGACCTGGCCTCCATCTGTCATTTTTTGTATTTTAAAGAGAAATCAGTGATGGGTGGACTGAGCCCTCTCATCCCTGGAGACAAAGCCCAAGCATTTATGTTCCAGGATCTTGTTCTCAGGCTTATATGTCTAGAAGAGTTTAAGACCTTTTGGCTTTGGAGTGTTTTTCTAATTTTACTTACCAACATTTTCCTTTTACCAATACTAGTAAAACTCCTCCAAGTCATAGCTTATACAAAACCACACTGCATGGAACAGAAAACACTTCGAGTTTTATTAGTATGTTTTTATTTTATAACTTCACATTTATAACATTTTATTTCACATATTGTCAACAAATGGAAACAGGGAGGGCATGAGTACAAAAAACACAGGAAGTCAGGATGCACTGGGTGATATCACGCCACTGTGGGTTGAAAAATACAACTTGGGCAAATGATCACACATGATCCCTTTTTAAAAAAAAAAAATTCTTTTCTTACAATCTCAAGGTATTCTTCCATTAAAACGGTCCACAATCAGAATTATAATGTTGTTTCAAAGTCAAATCACTAGGAATCGTCCACAATGGCTAGAATACTTTTCACAGAGTAACAGACACGAGGCACTCAGACTTACCATAAGAGTAAAAGGGCTTCTGATGCAATGTGATCACCACTTGACTCACAGGCCACAGATGTATTTGCTACGGTAACCACTGTTAGAACAGTAAAGAGAGCATGCATCGAGCAGAAAAGCATCACGATGATGATGATGTCTCCGTGTACTGAGGGCTTTCTATCCTCCGGACATCATGCTAAGTGCTTAAAAGGCCTTATGTCATTTGATCTTAACATAACAGCCCTTGCCCATTACTTTCTCATTTTTCTGACGAGGAAACTGATGTTCAGAGGATTTAAGCAAGTCTGCTGTACACAGAGCTACCATGCTGTGCTACATCAACTAGCGGTTCACTGAGTGGTGGCCATCGCTCTACTAGCACACTCAACATCAAGGGCATGCATGGGCCTGATTTACATACCCCATGAGGAGCTACAGGTCCCTTAATCTATGGACATTAAGAAGAGGTGGGTGGTAGGGAGAGCTGTAGGAGGGTACAGGGAAAACCACTGTTGATGGAAGAAGTCGTGGTAGGGGTGGGAGGGAGGGGGTGGTAAATTCTTTCTGAGAAAAGAATCAAGACTTGGCTCGAATGCCTTTGTCTTCATTGCATTCACTAAAGAAAAGCGTATGGGAAAGGTCTGACTTAGCCTGGCAAAGGGGATGTCCCCGGGGACCCAGCCTCGCTCTGCCTTCGCTCTCAGTAAATCGGCTCCTTGTGCCAGTGGCCATACTCATCGTCGGGGTCATCGTGCTCGTCGTTCTTCTCGTTTTCATAAGCGGCCTCTTCCTCCTCCTCCTCCCGGATCACCCTCATTAGCTCCAGGAAGCCGGGGTAATGCGCCTGGTCCCTCAGCTCCCTGAGCCTGCACCACAGGCTCTCGCTGAGGCTGGCCCCGGCCAACACCTGCTCCAGGCGCACGTGGTCGGCGATGTTCTTGGGGATGGCGCGCTTCTCCACCGCCCTGCGCAGCAGCATCTCCAGCCGCAGCACGTAGGCCGAGACCTTCTCGCCCTCCGCCTGGTAGGTCTTCAGGTACCTCACCTGGGAGGCCCGGCGGCTCTCCAGGCTCCCGAACACCTGCTGGAAGGCCTCCACGCTCTCCTGCACGCTCACGGAGGGGTCGTCCGCCTGCAAGATGCGCAGGAAGTCCAGGGCGGGGCCGCGCAGGCTCTCCGCCAGCCACCTTTTCTTCTCGGACTCGCTCACCGGCCACTCCCTGACTATCTCCTCAGCCTGTGACAGCCAGACCTCAAAGGAATCCTCCTCTGGGCCGGGCACGGAGTTGCCCGAGAACAGCCGCAGCTTGCGGTACCGCATGGGCAGCAGCGGCTGCGGGGCATGGGCCACCGCCTGCCCCACCACCTGGGCCAGCAGCTCCGGCGACAGGCAGGGCGCGGCGCCTGGAGATGCTCCCTCGTGCCCGAGGGCTCGGTACATCCCCTGGACGGTCTGCCCCTCCTTTTCTAGAAAGAGGTGCAGTCTCTCAAGAAACTCCGCGTCCTGGTTAGGGGTCTTAAAGACCACTTTCCAGACGCCCCCCTTCCCCTGAACCTCCCTGGGGATCTCCGAGACATCAGCGTCTCCCAGGAGCTCCAACAAGACCGCGCTGGTATTCTCCTGCTTCCTGACTATCTTGCCCAGCAGCCGGTACCTGCCCAGGGCCTTTAAGGTGTCCTGGAGAACTTCCTGGATCTCAGCCTCCTCACACCCCACGGGGATCCCCGTCACCATCAGCGATTTCTGCTCATCCACACTCATGATCCGGCACCAGTCCTCCAACAGCGCCAGTGCCATCGTCACCAACAGCTATTGGCTCTAACTCTAGGGGTACAATGAATTCGCAGTGCACGCAGGCACTCCCTTAGGATTTGAAGTAAGGATAAAGTCCTGAACCCCCAGCCCACCAGGGAAGGGGTTTCCGGTCAGGTCCCCTCAACAGCAGCCCGAAGTCTCCTGGACCAGTAACCAGTGGCTCTGGAGGTCCCCAGCTGCTGAGTCTCTCCAGATGCTGGCAGATGTGCGGCGGTGCTGACCCTTCTCTGACCGGTCTCTGTGGCAAAACAATGGTCAGTTACCACACAGCCCTCTCCTTCCCAGGAAGCACCCACACTCCCATTAAGGGCAGCAGTGAGGGCAGACGGGGTTCTACCCTACACTGTATTTGTGTCCACCCTTCGGTTAGGTCTCTGCTGAGAGTGACTTTTTTCCCCCTTGGGGACCCTCCTGCAATCCCGCTTCTCCGCCATTCACTCATCAGACATATATCCATTAATGTCTGAGCCCAGCTGTGGTCAGGACTCAAGATCCTTCCCCCGTGAAGAAAGAAGTCAGGAGATGGCCAGATACCTGTTTTTAGGATTCCAGAATATTCTGTGGGAGTCAAGAAGCTTGTTTATTCAGCTTCTAGCCAAGGAAGATGTCACCCAACTCTACAATGTTCGGGTCTTGGTCCTTCTTAGCTCCAGCCACGCCAAGCTGCCCTGTTACACATAAATAGTAATGGTGTGTTTTCATTGCTCAATAATATCCGATAATAAAGACTGTTAATGCGCTTATTAAAAATATGACAATCCTTCACAATGTAATTAAATCTACTAAACAATATACAGTAGTTACTTCAGTTCTTTGATTAAAAAAATACAATTAGAAATCACTTTGACATTTAAAACCAATAGCAGTGTAACAATATAGTGTATAATACACTTTAACATGGTAATATAGACATAACAATTTTTTAAAAATATTTTTTTATTGATTTTATACAGAGAGGAAGGGAGAGAGATAGTTAGAAACATCGACGAGAGAGACATCAATCAGCTGCCTCTTGCACACCCCCTACTGGGGATATGCCCACAACCAAGGTACATGCCCTTGACCGGAATCGAACCCGGGACCCTTCAGTCCCCAAGCCGATGCTCTATCCATTGAGCCAAACCGGTTTCGGCAGACATAACAATTTAATATAGGCCTAACAAATTTTAAGTCTCAGGGCTGAGCTTGGCCAGTGTGGCTCTGTGATTGAGTGTTGACCTACGAACCAGGATGTCACGGTTCAATTCCCAGTCAGGGCACATGCCTGGGTTGCAGGTTTTATCCCCAGTGGGGGCTGTGTAGGAGGCAGCCTCTCAATGATTCTCACTCATCATTGATGCTTCTCTCTCTCTTTCCTTCTCCCTTTCTTTCTCTGAAATTAAGAAAAAAATCTCAGGGCTGAATAAGTTAAACCTGGAATTATGAATTCATTCTCTTCTGTTACGTCTGGTCAGGCTTCGCAAATGCAAAAGGAGGTGTTTCTTAGGCTTTGAATGTTAAGTTCTAACACGACACTTTCTCCCTAACATTTGAATTTGAATTGGGGTCCTTCGAAGAAAAAGGAAAAGAGAACCAGTGGAGAATGGGTAATGTGAAAAGAGTGCCTAACATCTCAACTTCCTGCTGTGGGGTGGGTGTTGGGGCCCTGACCACTCCCTCCCGAAGCCTGAAAATCTCCATCTCGCCTAAAGGCTGTCTGTGCCACAGATGCCAACTTGTAACCATTGAGGCAGCTGCTCCACTGCAGGCACCTTTCCCCTGTCCCTCTGCATGGCTCTGAAGGCATGGTGCATGCCCGGGGCAAGGAGGACAAAGAGATGGATTACACCCTGGCCCAGCAACCCCAGGGATCTGAGTCCAGTGACCTCTCTATGCCCCGCTAACATATGAGGGAGACTTCCTCTTCACTGTAATACTTTAAGGCACCCCCAATGCCCAGGAAGAAATATCTTCAAGGTGTGCGTAGTAACTGCTCTGCTGAGGTCAGGATACTCTGGATGGCTTCTTCCTCCAAAGGCAGTCTCTCCCTGCAAAGTGACTTTCAAATACAAAGATAGCAACTGAACCATGGTCCTTGATACACGGATTGAAAAATTTGGTTATGGGGAGGGGGGAAAGGGGAAATCATGTATATTCTAACATAAAGATAGAATTAGTTGGAAAAGGAACCAGACTTTCAGGTGGAAGAGCCCCATTGGATTTGTTGGATCATTGAATTAGATAGTGGGCAAAGCGCCTCAATCTCTTTAAATCTCAGTCTCCTTTTACCCTGGAAAACCGTGACGGTAAAGCGCTCAATGCACTCATCACACTCATCTTCCGGGGCTGCGGTGAGTAGGAAATGACGCAATTCGTGTGGAAGCACTTTATTCGGATGGAAAGCACATCTGGTTTGAGGTCCGAATGCCGGCTTCTGCTTATCTCAGCCTTTACAGTATTCCTCTTTCCTCTTCCTCCCCTTCTCATCTCCCTACCTGCGTCATGATGGGCTCAACCTGTAACTGTAATGGGTAGTCCTCCAAATTTAACTCCTTTCACAATTGGGCGTGGGGGTGGAGATGAGAGTATCCCCTTTAATCCCTCCAGGGGCAAGGGCTGACGATGGGAAAGAATCCCCGGTCCCACTGTCCAGCATGATGACTTGCAGTAATCAGCCTCTCAACCCAAACCCATCCTAATGCCTGAGCATGCGCAGACCTCCCTCTTGAGCCGCAGAGGATGAGCAACATCTCTGCAGCATTTTGCCACCGTAGGGAGGGGCGGGGCTTGATGGAGGGCTTGATGTGGATCCAGGGAAAAACATGGGGATGGGAGCGAGCAATGAAGAATCCATCCGGGGCCGCGTTAGTGGCCCAAATCCCCACACATCTTTAGCCTGCTTCGCCACCCGCAATTCAAAGCACTCATCATGGCCGGCACCCCATCTCCTCCCCCTCTGGGCACGCGCCCCGCACCGAGGCCTCCAGCACCCGGCTCTGGCGCAGTGCGCAACAGGGTGGGGGTACTGGGCCGGGGAGGTCTGGCGCTTTAAAGATGGGGCTACAATTTGCGCCTTTTCTTATCATACCATTTCAAAACACCCCCTGCGCCTTTTCATACCTTTTCAAAACACCCCCCTGCGCCTTTTCATACCTTTTCAAAACACCCCCCTGCGCCTTTTCTTATCATACCATTTCAAAACACCCCCCTGCGCCTTTTCATACCTTTTCAAAACACCCCCCTGCGCCTTTTCATACCTTTTCAAAACACCCCCCTGCGCCTATTCTTGTGACGCAGTGGCGCAGTTAGCAGTATATGGCACCCCCTGCTCTTCTCCCCTTCCCCCGCGCCCTGCCTGCACCCTCACTCACCAAATATTAATTGTCCTGATGGGCTGGAATTCGCAGACTGCCTTCTTGGTTACATCTCAAGGGCCCGTAGATCTACGTCTCTCTTTATACCACCCTCCCCTCCCCCCATCTTCAGCTACGTCTCCGCATTTCTCTCGGCCATGCTGTGCGCCCGCTGCCCCTTCCCCCCCCCCTCCTCCAACCTCAGTGATGAACCAAGCGGGTGGACCCCCAAAGCCTGTGGGTGGACTGAAGCTCTGCTGGCCCAGGGGTCGTGCAGCCCCCTCCTCTGCGAAGCCTGCGCCATCCCTCTCCGTCCTCACTGAGGCCCTTTCCTCTCTCCCCGGGTGTCCTGGCCGCCGCCCAGTTTGCCCCCCTTTGCGCACCATCAGCTCACCTCCGGGAGGGGGCAGGGGCCCTCCCCGCCGGGGGTCCTCGCCCCTGGCCCACCTCCGCAATGCGCAATGCGGGAGCGGGGGGCGCGGGGCCGGGCAGGTGGAGGAGGGAGGAGGGCGCGTTGGCCAGGGGCTGCGCCCTCGGGTCTCCATCCCCGCGCGCCCACCCCATACTCACCCGGAGCCGAGAGCGGTCAGCAGACCGTCCGCCCCGCAGCCAGGAGCCGGTGGTCTGGCTGCTTCACTTCCGGAGCGCGTCCTCCCTCTCCGCCTCCCCCTCCCTCCGCAGCGCTCCGCCTCCTCCTCCCCGCGCCCCGCCCCGCACCCCCGCCCGCCGCTGCCGGGAACGGGCAGGCTCCCCCCGCTGCCGCAGCGGCCGCCCAGCCAAACCCAACTTTGCAGCTCGCGGAGCTCCCGGGCGGGGCGGGGGCGTGGGCAGGGGAGCCGGCGGGTCGGGAGGAGGGGCGGCGGGAGGGTCGCCGGCTCGCAGCCTCCTTCCTTTCTGTGCACCTTGCGGCGAGCAGAGCGGCGGCCGGGGGCTGTGCTCGGCAGAGGCGGGCCCGGGGGCCGCAGCAGGGCGGACGGAGCGAGGGACCCTCCCCGAGCCCCGCGCCATGGCCGAGAGGAAGCAGCCCGGGAAGGCGGCGGAGGACGAGGAGGTCCCTGCCTTTTTCAAGAACCTGGGCTCGGGGAGCCCCAAGCCCCGGCAGAAATTCTGCGGCATGTTCTGCCCGGTGGAAGGCTCCTCGGAGAACAAGACCATCGACTTCGACTCGCTGTCGGTGGGCAGGGGCTCGGGGCAGGTGGTGGCCCAGCAGCGGGACGTCGCCCACCTGGGCCCGGACCCGCAGCCGCCGTACTCCCGGCAGGGCCGGCGCGCCGGCGGGGGGCCATCTGTTGAATCGGGCCGGAAGGTGGAGATCCGGAGGGCCTCGGGCAAGGAAGCCCTGCAGAACGTCTACGACCAGGTGGGTGTGGGGGAGGGGAGGCCGGAGGAGGGGGCCGGGGCTCGGGGACCGCCCCTCCCTCGCCTCCCAGAGTGCCCACCGCCCTGCCCCGCCCCGGCTCTGTGCCAGCAGCACCCCACCCTGCTCTACCCTTCTCAAGGGTGCGGAGGGGCTCCGGCTGGGCGCGGGGCGGCTGCGCCCACAAAGGCTGCCAGAGCCGATCCGGGTCTGGGGGGCGAAGCGGGGAAGGATGGGCCGATCCTCGGCTGGGGGGTGGGGTGGGGTGGGGTCGCAACGAGGGGCGTGGGGATGGGCGGCGGTTCCATTCTTCTTAGACCCTCCCGGGCGGCTCCCCGTTGCAGCTGTGGCTGGGTGTCCCACCCTTTTCTTTTCTTTTTTTTTTTTTTTTTTGATGCAGCGGCGGAGGCTCCGGGTAGAGGCCCGCGGGCTCCCCGGGGGTCGGGCGGGGCTGGGGTGGGGTGGGGGGTGGTTGGGGGCTTGGACCGCTGCTGCCTCCGCGCCCAGCGCGCTCTCCACCGCACCTGCTCCGGCTCGCTCGGCGCCCGCGTCCCGAGCTGGAGGCCAGCACCATGGTCAGCGGCGCCCGGACCGCCTCGGAGACTCTCGTCACCCTGGTTTCCTGTTCGCAAAGTGAGAAGAGCCGGGGAGGCGGTGGAGTCACCCGAGGAAACCCAGACGCTCCCAAATAGCCCAAATGCACAGCAAAGTTCCGCTAAGTATCTCAGCGAGGGCTTTCCAGAGTGCCCCCCCCTCCCCGCCCGCCCTGGGCTTTGGAGCTGGGGACCAAGTGGATTATGTCCAAAGGGTAAGAGGAAAAGGGGAGACACCTTCACATGTTGAATAGATTGTCAAGATGGATTGGACCCCCTCTGCTGTGCTAATGGGGAAACAAAGAGAAGCAATACAGTAAGCCTTGATTTTAGAAAATGTTTGTCACCTCTGGCAAAAATGAACAGTGTGTATGTTAAGTGAAGCCATCTTCCCCCACCAGTCCCCTCGCCCCCTTTATCAGCGTGACCCCCATACTTGTGCAGCCCCCCCTCCCCCACATATACACAAACCGTAATTTCTCAACGGATGAATTATAGTGTGAAATGTTTTAACACTTGTTTGCTGTTTCTCTCCCAGGCCCCTTGGTGAAGATGAGAAATGAGTCAATGATGGATTATTTATTGAATATCTATAATGTAGCTTGCCTTGTGGGGCTGGGGGAAGGTTAGCTATAAAAGAAGATCAAGGCAATTTTTTCCCTCAGGGGTTTCTAAAGTAGTTGCGGGTGGTCTCTGCATATTCACGGAGTGTTTCCGCAGTCATTTCTTTGGCTCAACGTCAGGGTGTGTGCTGACAATGAACACATCAGAAAACAATTAACAGTTGGCGATAATGGCCCAAATATGTTACTGTTTCCCGATGTAGCATAGAGTTTTGCAGCTCTTCACTTTTATTATAGTCTGAGTGCATCATGTTGCATTGGAAATTCTACAACTATATTGAATTTTTTAGAATTTAGTAAAACAGCATGCACCCAACTTTAATGAGTATTCTCACATTTAAATACTGTCAAAGTTAGGGAATGTTATTTAAAATATTAGCTTCTCCTTTAATTATTATTATTATTTTTTTTAGCTCTTCCCTTTTATAGGGCCAATTCTAGGAAAGATAAACCATTTGCTGTCATTTTAAAAAGAGAGGGCAACTAAATACTTAATTGATTCCTCTTCCCACAGCCCTGTCCTCTGATCTATTCCTCTGAGTTAACTAAAACTTAATCCAAAAAGCTCACTCTTGCCGAAACCAGTTTGGCTCAGTGGTAGAGCATCGGTCTGTGGACTGAAAGGTCCCAGGTTCGATTCCGGTCAAGGGCATGTACATTGGTTGCGGGCACATCCCCAGTAGGGAGTGTGCAAGAGGCAGCTGGTCGATGTTTCTCTCTCATCGACGTTTCTAGCTCTCTATCTCTCTCCCTTCCTCTCTGTGAAAAATCAATAAAATATATTAAAAAACAAAAAAAACAAAAACAAAAAGCTCACTCTTTTCCAAGTCATTACACAAACTTTGATATTTGAAGTAAAGTTTTTCTTAACAAAAAGAGATATTGATTTTGAGAGAGAGAGAGAGAGAGAGAGAGAGAGAGAGAGAGAGAGAGAGAGAAACATCAGTATGAGCAAAACATTGATGGACTGCCTCCTGCACGCCCCCTACTGGAGACCAGCCCACAATCTAGCTCTGACTGGGAATCAACCTGAAACCTTTTGGTGAATGAGACAACACCCAACCAACTGACCACACCAGCCAGGGCTGAAGTAAAGTTTCTGACAGTGAAAGCTGAGTGAGTGTGAAATACTTCCCTATGTGAATACATTGGGTGGGGGCAAACCATGATCATATAGCCTAATGGTTATGTGCATATCCTCGCCTTCAACAGCTCGTGCTGGCTGGGGATCCTAATGACCTAAAGGGAGGAGAAGATTGCCTTGAGATAAGGAAGAGGTCATTTTTTTTTTCTTTTCAAAAAATGGCAGCTCAGGGGACAGAGATTAAAAGTGGCCATCTTGATGATGATGGCAGTGAATTAAAATTCAAGTTTGAAAGGCAAAGTTTCACTGGGTTGAATAACATCTCTTGTTCTGTTCATTTAGAACCTTAGTTATTTGATCATCAGAGCTACCAGTTTGAACACACTCCAAATTTAACTGAAGTTCTAAACTGTAAGCCTAGGGCAGTGGTCCGCAAACTGCGGTTCGCGAGCCACATGCGACTCTTTGGCCCCTTGAGTGTGGCTCCTCCACAAAATACCACGGACTGGACGAGTCTATTTTGAAGAAGTGGCCTTAGAATAAGTTTAAGTTTAAAAAATTTGGCTCTCAAAAGAAATTTCAATCGTTGTACTATTGATATTTGGCTCTGTTGACTAATGAGTTTGCTGACCACTGGCCTTGGGTGTATGAAAGAGAGAGATTTGAAGAAGAAATACCCAACCAAAACTCAGGCAGTTTTAGCTTCTGCAAACCCACATTTGTACCAGAGGGTGATTCTGGCTTGGTCTTCTGCAGCCTTCCCTGAATTTTATTTTTCTTTCTTTCTTTTTTTTTTTTTTTTTTTTTTTTTTTTTTTTTTTTTTTTTTTAAATTTTCACTTTCAAGCTTGCCTTTCTTTTTTTTTTTTTAATTTTCATTTTATAATTTTCATTTTCAAGGTTTATCTCATCACATAAGGGTTGTTCCATGGGATTTGTTTCATTCATGACTGAGTATTTACCAGGATCGGTACTTACAGTGTTTGAATATTTCACGTTTATACAAGAGAACAAAGGTGTGTGTGTGTGTGTGTGTGTGTGTGTGTGTGTGTGAACATGGTGATTTCCAAAAGCACAGGTGGACCCACCATTTTGCCTGAGTCAAGTGGTCATTACATAATTTTTAGCTAATGAGCAGGGTGATGACCAGCATCTCAGTGCATCCTCTCTGAAGCCCTAGCACAGAGAGGCAGGGAACTGAGCAAGTGGATTGAGGCCCCGATTCACCCCCCTACTCCTCCCTGAATCTTTGTTTATAGCCGTTAACACCTGGTCACAGAATTGGCTTTGTCCACCTGATGCACCAGGGGTTCTCCTATGCTTTCGGAAGGGAGGGAACGGATTCCTTAGCCCAGAGGCAGCATGGCCTGTGGGAGACCAGGAAAAGTGTCTGAGTTTGCATTTGCAGGTGCCAGCAGGTCAGCACTGGGAAGCACTGGGCGTGGCTTGGGCTGGGCTGCTAGGTTTTGGTGAAGGGCCAGAGCCAGTGTTGTGAATGCAAATAAGACAAGCTTCTATCTCATTGCTGTCTTTTTTCTTTTTGTCCTCGGGGAAGTCCACCTTGGGTTACAGTGAGGTTAAATGGATGACCACCCTGTGAAGGATTTGAGCCCCTTGGAACAGAGAGCAGAGGGTCAGCACTGCTGGCCACATCTCCGTTGCCAGTGCCCTGGGGTCCCTCAGCTTCCGCCTCTCCTCTTGGGAATTCCCTGCATTTCATCAGACACAGCTGAGCCGGAACCAGCTATTCCACCAAGGAAATTAGATCCTGAGCATCCCGTCCAGAGGAGCTCCCAGGCCCTTCTCCCAGCAGCAAACAACCTGCATGACTAGAGTGGCAGGAGAGTGAGTCTCCACTTACCAGGCAGGTGCCAGCCTGTGAACTACACAAGAGTGTTGCTGAACGTGACAAAACCACCAGCTCTGTAACATGCTTTCTTTCTTTTTTTTTTTTTAATCAATCTTTATTGTTCATATTATTACAAAGGTTCCTCATTTCTTCCCCCCTCCACCATGTTCCCACCCCACCCTCCGCCCCCTCCCCATCCCCCATTGTCCTCATCCATAGGTGCACAGTTTATGTTCAGTCTCTTCTTCCCTCCCTTTCCCCCCGATAGTAAATCCCTTTTCAGATAGTAAATTAGTTACTTAGCATTTTCTCATATCAATAATACCTCCATATGCCCAATGATACACTTCACACAAAAGACATTTCCCAATAGGTCAACTAGCCTCATCCAGGCCCCACCCAAGGCACTCACAGATCAACACCCCAGCCCTATACTAACTCAACACATCCAGATCTAAGCCTTCATCACTTGATTCAGCAGACCCTCAAGTTCCCACGAAAGTTTCCAGCCATGTCTGAGAGGCAGCCGTGGGGCAGGAGCAGGCGAGGAGTGAGCTGTTCTGGGCCTGGCTGTTCAGGGCCTGGCCTCTGTTGCTCTGGTTCATTCCACAACCAGCTGCTCTGGGTCTGGTCACTGCCGCTCCCGACCTAGTTGCTCTGGACTTGGCTGCTGCTGCTCCGGGCCTGGCCGCACCAGACCCGGCTGCTCCGGGCCTGGCCGCTCCCAGCCTGGCAGCCACTGCTCCTGTAACATGCTTTCTGATATTCCTTTCCATTCTGTGTCCCCATCCCCTGTTCCCAGATTAACTCCCAGCACTGGGTGCTCAGGGACTCTGTTGCCCTCTTACTGTTCAA